TGCACCTTTATGGCTAACACATCCAATTTCAGGAAACTCCTAGTTCAGATGCCTTGTATGACATGCTTATTGGGGGTAGGGTCTACTTTCCCCATTCCTTAAGTCAGGGGACGGTAGATCTATTATTTGTCTCCCCCCCCCCCCCCAATGGGGCCTCAAAACCCACACTATAAAGCCAGGAAACAACAACGATCAGTGTTTGCATCTGACTGAGGTATTTTTGGTTGCTAAATGCCTGGTCTTGGCTGGCGCTAACTTCAACCTTTCTGCATCACATTTTTTAACCGTGGTTTCTGTGTTTAAGTCCATTATCATACTGCTTAGTGAACTTTGTGCATGGCTGCTCGACTCCTTCCACTGGGGTCTCTCCGCGCTTGAACCATGTTCAGTCTTGACAGGCAATTCTGTGAAATCTGCAGCTTGCTCCATGCTGGCCGAATCTGGTGGTTCATGTTTTATAAGGACTCCACTGGGCAAGGACAGCAGAGAAGCATCAGTAGTCAATTTGTGGTGATAAGTTACAGTCACAGGTGAAGACACAAGATCAATTGAGCCTGCCAACATGTGACTGCTCTCACAGGCAGAAGCAGGTGGCTGGCGCAGTATCGCAGCCAATGACGGACTGGATACTGAACAGTGGGATGGAGGTGTTGGGGTGGAAGAAAGCGAGGTAGGAGTGGAGCTACGGGTTAATGACAAGATTACAGTCTTTGGCTGCATCTTCTGAGGGCTGCCTGGGGTATCAGAGGAACTCTCAACAACTGCTGACTTGTTTGCCAGTGATGATCTTAATATATTCTGCAATATGGACCCGGGAGATGTGGGGGACCTGTCCAATACCGATGCTGATGATGTTACACCTCCAAGTGCTTTCTGGTTGCGACCTGTCATGAAATTGTTGGTAGCAGAATTTTCTGACATCTTGTTGGTGATTAGGTTCAAAGCAAGCTCCGATGCAGATGAGTCCTGAGTCTGTGTACACCATGCTGTCAAAGAAGATGGAAGCACCTGCGGACCTGCCGCTTGAGGCTGGGATGTTTTATACATAGTGATGTCCAAGGGCTGGGATGCTTTACTACCAAGCAGAGGTTTTTTCAGAAAGCTGGCCATGACATCTGGGGGCACCAGTTCGCGGACCATCTGTGTTCGTTCCTTAACCAAACCTCCGGAGCCGCTCCATTTGTAACCACACTGAATCTCATCAGCCTGGGCTCCAGGTTTCACTGCTTTCCCTGACTGGACAGTGTGAGTGGAGGAAGCAATCACTGCTTGCACATGGGGAGCATGTGCAGCTCCTGTGTCGAGTCTATAGTTACGGGCACTAGCAAACATCCGAGCTTGCAGATCAGAATCTGCTTGTTTATCACCAATGATGCTATGCAGAGACTGTCTTTCCTTCTGTTCTGTGGCGCCTGCTGAATTATTTGCCATCAGCATAAAACAGTGTAGAGAATCAGATGAACTGCTGCTTGCAACCAACTGGGCCACGTTATTAGGAAGACCTGGCAGTGAACTCAAATCAGCATCTCTCTCCTTACTCAGAGAAATGCTAGTATCAACATAAGAGAGTTTTGGCTTGGACAAATCAATAGCTCCACAATTATCATTAACTGAAGGATTATTGGTAGGCTTAGTCTCTGAGAAAACCAACGCTTTGTTGTTATCTGTTACCCCTTTGTTATCTGTTACCAGGCTTCTTAGTAGAGATGTGGAAGGACGCATAGTCAGCGAAAGATGTTGTCGATGTGGTGGCAATAAAGGGTACAGTAAACCTTTCACCTGGGTATCACCTGCAAACAGTAACGGAGGCACAGGTGGCAGGAAAGATTTAGCGTCTGCACCTGTATTTGATAATGGCCCGCCTGTTTCTTGGCATCTGCTAATCACAACATTTCCACCTGATGTACTGTTGAGCAAAGACTGAGAAATATTCACAGATGTAGGCAGCAAGCGTGGAGCTGGTAGATCCACAACCGCTGCTTGTGATAAACCCGCACTGGCCACAATATTTATCTGCTTCCTGTCTGCAGGGAAACCAACCATGGGAGGTTTTGAAGTGATAGATGCAGGATTTTGTGAGTGAGTGGCTGCTGGACTTTGTGAGAAAGCAGCTGTTGCGCTCTGTGAGTGGGTAGCCCCTGGACTTTGCGGGTGAGTGGCTACCTGCCTCATTGCTGTTTCCAGGCTAACAGTTGATAACAGATTTAAATTTGTCAGCATGCACTGTTCTTGAGACACTGATGAGTTATCCGTGGTTACCGTTTTACGGCAGCAGTCGTTATCCCTGGTTCTAATTTTGTTGTTTCTGGCTCTCTTGGATGCCAGCCTTGAGCTCTTTCTGGGCTTCTTTTCAGGAACACTATCCTCTGAAGTTTGCAAGCAAATAGAAGATGCATGGGAGGTACTGGAAACTGTTGCCTCTTCATTCATCCTTACAGTTGAAAATGAAGGAATGACTTCATGGCCAACATCTGCGATGGCTGCTGCCCGCAACAATGTATGCATAGGAGAAAAATCACATCTGCTTCTCTTTAAACTAAACGTCCCAAGTGTACCACCACTTTCCACCTGCCCAAACTTTGTCCCACCTGTACCATCATTCTTCACTTGCTCACACATTGTCCCAGAGGTAACGCCACTTTCCGCTTGCTCACACACATAACTTTGCAGAAAGCTCTTATTCTTTTGCTGGGCAGACATTTGCTTATAAGTGTATTCCTGCTGCTCCTGAGATGCAGCCCCATTCTGCGATGAGATGAGATCATCTAAATACCGGAGAAACAACCTCACCGACATTTCTGACAAGACAGCAGGCCTTTCTTTGCTAATGGCTGATCGCAGCTTAGATCCACGAAACATTCGATGCCCCACCGATAAGACACTTGGTTTTCTGCCCCGCTTCCTCTGCCGGAACTTGTGCTGCCACACACCTTGCAATACCTCGTGTCTCTGAAGGTGATTGAGAAGTCTTGCTCGAGATGAATATTGTTTCTTACAATGATGGCAGACATTTCTTTTTCTATGTCTGCTTTTTTCCAAACAATCACTGGACAACTTCTTTGCATTTCCACTTATATTTTTCATACCTGAAATACAAAGCATTTCAATATTTTAAGATAATCCATGATAATTTAATGTTAGAATGAAATCATGTATCAAACTAAACAATTTCTTAAATTAAAAATACATTTGTCTGATTAAAAGCCCTACAAAAATCGTATGCATGTGTCTAAAAATACAACCTACAGAAATGTCCCTCTCCTATATAAATCTGTTATAATTAAAAATATAACAAACACAACAAAGTAACACCTTAATGTAGTTACTTCAGTATCTTCTTCTTTGTGTTCACTGGCGATAAACTCCTTCGGAAAGTTCTAGTTGTTTGCCCACCTCTGGACTTTAGTCTTGTTCCAGAATCTGGGTGTAGCGTGCACATCAATTAACTGATCTGACTTAACTGTATGCAGATTGTTGGTTCCTTGCTTCTTAGGCAGATGCACTCCAACCTCGAAGGTAGCCCCCAATTAGTTTACTCTTTTTGGGGAGGCAGTGGGTCTATTCTGTTCATACAATGGGGTCCTGGAACCCACACTGGGAAATACTTCCTTATCATTTTCTTCTTTGTGTTGTGTTATTCATTTTCTAATGAAGACCCCCCTTGCCTCAACAATGTCAATGTCCACTGTAATTCTTTTTTTTCTTTTTCTGGAAAGCTGGCCTACATTTTGTTTTTTTTTTTTAAATTGTGTAGTTTTATATCTTTACTATAGCTCAATGAATTTCATTTACCATATTTGTCAGTGTATAAAACACACATTTGTGTTCTGAAAATAGTCTGTCTTATACAACAATGGTTGGCCTGAATCTATCATTACTTTGTACAGCTGCCTGTGACATGAAAAAAGATAGCTGCATTCCCACAGTGCAATGTTTTGACCACCAGGTGATAAAATATGCTTAAGAACAGCAATAAACCCGCAGAGCATCATTTTGGATATTCACCAATGGGAGAAAACCCCCAATGCTCTGGCAGTCGCAGCAGGCTGTTTTGCGCTAAATGAACCAACGAAAATGAGCAAAATCTAGAAAAAGTGCAAAATGGCAGGAATTAGAGACGTATGTGTTGAAATGAGTGCACAGTTTTTTTCTGGATATTTTCTTGCAATTTTTGGGGTAAACCTTATACACCATCAAATGTGGTATATATATTTTCTATTTCGCAACAGGGGTGTGTGGCCAAACTATAGCTCATACAAATGTCCCTCTCTATATTAGGACTTGGATTTGATAGTTTTTTGTTTGTTTCCAAGAAATATGAAATATTCTTCTGTGTGTCCACATTTACAGAGACAATTCGATTTTCCTACTGCTTGCTCCTTTACCAAGTTTCTGCACCATAAAGCAGGGTTGAGCATATATAAAATCTGATGATTCTAATTTTTAATGTGTTGTTAATCTTTCTAGTTGTCATTAATTTTCACACCTTACTGATAATTATGAGAAATAATGCTTTAAATTTTCTTTTTCTGTGTTCAGTCCTGAAATAGTGGTTAACACTCTGTGTTGAGATTTACAACCAGGCTGTGATATCTGCACCCATCTTTTGGGGCAACTCATCCTATTTCAGGAAATCCCTTTAAAGCCATGCTTGATTAGGGAGCACTGTGTCCGGGCCGTTTTAAAATCGATGAGGCCCTACCATTTTAAAATACACCAGCTAATCTAAAAATACATACTTTTTAAATATTTGGATTAATCCAGCAGTGCATGAGCCCATAAAATATACGGATAATAGAAATATACTGCCGTTTATATATATAAATTTTCTTTATATATGTGTGTGTGTGTGTATATATATATATATATACACACACACACACATACAAAGACAATTGTACTTGTTAAAATAAACCCAGCACAGAGTGGGTTTATTCCTTTATTTTCTCTCTCTCTAAATTGGGACCCAAAAACCCATTCAGAGGAATCACTGACAACAACTAACCTGCCAGCTCTGGGACCCTAAGATTAACATCCACTGATTTCTGTTGACACTGGACTTGCATTAAGTTGGTCAACACTTGTGTCAGCACCTGTATTTTAGCATCAACGTTGGAGTGCCTGTTGCTATCCTTAGATCTCCTGTCTAGATCTGAGAGAGATCCTGCAGCCTCTGTGTTACCATTCACATCTAGCTCTGATATGTGATGTTTGCTGCTAAAGTTTGCCCTGTTATGTGGTTCGCTGGAGAATGAAGAATCTGTGCTGCCGAGACAATCTCTTTGTGAAGATAATCCATTCATATGGTCTGCTGCAAGTTGGTTGGCTGAGGATTTTTCACCTCTCAGTGGGATGGCCACATCTGTTGTGTTGTTGCTGCATGTAATGGTTTTCTGCTCAGATTTCGGCTGCCTGTGATTCTCTAACTGTAATGGCATGTGAACAGTAGCTGTACTAGCATCAGCAGAAAAATTAGGCAGCGCAAAGATGGACTTTGCTGCTTGCAAACATCGGGGGCAAAGGGCGCAGAGGGATGAATTAACCCGGATTTGCTGATTTCCCTGGCCTTTGTAATACACTAGGCAGTGTGTCGACTGGTAGCGCTTAAAAGGAACTTTGTGTAAAACTACAAATTTTCCACATGCCTGCAAAAAAAAAAAAAAAATGGTTAAAAAACGAAAAATAAAAACAACAGTTTACTGTTATGACTTAACAAAGAGATATTAGTATAGATGTACTTTACTCACAACTACTATTATACAATGAGAGTTCAGTATAGATGTACTTTAACACACAACTACTATTATACAATGAGAGTTCAGTATAGATGTACTTCAACATAACATTCTACTATTAAACAATGAGAGTTCAGTATAGATGTACTTTAACTCAGAACTACTATTATACAATGAGAGTTCAGTATAGATGTACTTTAACTCACAACTACTATTATACAAAGAGGGTTCAGTATAGATGTACTTTAACACACAACTACTATTATACAATGAGAGTTCAGTATAGATGTACTTTAACACACAACTACTATTATACAATGAGAGTTCAGTATAGATGTACTTTAACTCACAACTACTATTATACAATGAGAGTTCAGTATAGATGTACTTCAACATAACATTCTATATTAAACAATGAGAGTTCAGTATAGATGTACTTTAACTCACAACTACTATTATACAAAGAGGGTTCAGTATAGATGTACTTTAACACACAACTACTATTATACAATGAGAGTTCAGTATAGATGTACTTTAACATACAACTACTATTATACAATGAGAGTTCAGTATAGATGTACTTTAACACACAACTACTATTATACAATGAGAGTTCAGTATAGATGTACTTTACTCACAACTACTATTATACAATGAGAGTTCAGTATAGATGTACTTTACTCACAACTACTATTATACAATGAGAGTTCAGTATAGATGTACTGAACATAACATTCTACTATCAAACAATGAGAGTTCAGTATAGATGTACTGAACATAACATTCTACTATCAAACAATGAGAGTTCAGTATAGATGTACTGAACATAACACTACTATATACAATGAGAGTTCAGTATAGATGTACTGAACATAACATTCTACTATTAAACAATGAGAGTTCAGTATAGCTGTCATCATCATGGTGCAGGTTCTTTGCAGAACATTGCTCTCATCACGCTCAGCCTGAGAAAACTCAATCTCCTGCCAGCGCTCCCGACCATCTTCGTGTTGGTCGGCCCCTGCCCCTCCTTCTTGGTACCATGCCTTCTATTTTTTTTTAAACAATCAGCAGTATAGCTGTACTAAACAAAGAGGGTTCAGTATATATTTTCTGAGCACCTTTCTGAGCATTTTTTTAAAAACATGTAGATTAAACAATTTGAGCATCAAATCGATTATAAGCATTCTTCTGTAGAACCACATTTCTGAGATGCAGGTAAATGACTGAAAACATGAATACATGACAGGGTTGACTTGGAAACAGGATAAACAAATGATACAAGTAAGGAAGATACACATATGATACAGGTAAAGAATAAATGAAATGATACAAGTACAGAAGATACACAGACCCTACAGGTGAAGAATAAATAAAATTATACAAGTACAGAAGATACACAGACCCTACAGGTGAAGAAAAAATAAAATTATACAAGTACAGAAGATATGCAGATACAGGTGAAGAAAAAATAAAATTATACAAGTACAGAAGATATGCAGATACCGGTGAAGAATAAATAAAATTATGCAAGTACAGAAGATATGCAGATGAACAGGTGAAGAATAAATAAAATTATGCAAGTACAGAAGATATGCAGATGAACAGGTAAAGAATAAATAAAATAACACTAGTTCAGAATATACAGGTAAAGAATTAATAAAATGATACATGTTCAGAATATACAGGTAAAGAATTAATAAAATGATACATGTTCAGAATATACAGGTAAAAAAATGATACCCACACAGAAGATAAATAAAGAATAAATAAAATGATACAAGCACATAAAATACATGGACGATACTGGTAAATAATAAAGACAGATTAACTAGGGTGTAAGGAAAGCCATAAAAACTTTACAAATAAATTTCACACAAAAAGCAATCATAAAGAAAAAGAGCACATTTATAGAAAGATGATAGGATACTGTTAGATTGAGGAAGTGGTTTGAATATCTAGTAAGAATGCAGCCTGAGCAAACAGTATATGAGACCTTCTAAAGCAGAACATCCGGGTGAAGGGCGAGAGGATGAACAAGGAAGTTGTTGATAGTGCAGCGGAATCATGAGGGACACAAATATGAACAAAAACACCCGGGCAGGGCAAGACTAATATGGCACCAAACTACAACCCGATAACAGTTTGATGAAAAAACCAAAAAAAAAAACAACAACAAATGCTTTACCTTTCCTACCACAAATTTCTCCGGAAACCCTGGACAAAAGACATATCCCTTTCCAGAAACCAATCGAAGCATGGCCAACAATGAGGCTGCCTCAATCTGACCACTCTCTTGGTTCACGATGCTCACACGCTCCAATGGGTTTAAACAGGACTGACAGCAAACATCTGCCCGTGGGATCTAGCGTCAGTGAGATGGGTTCCACTGGGGGCCCAAACACTCCCAAGACTCCTTCTCTAAAGACAATAAGTATTTCCACATCATTGTGCGTTTTTGTAACCTGGTTGGAAATAAAATTGCATTTTATCATCAGGGGATGAATTTGTAACAAAGGCATTTTGTTACTGAAAAAACACGGATAAAGCGAAAACTTTAATAATAATGTCGGCTATGTGGCTAAGTAGGTGCGAACGCTTCGTAATGTCGGGTTCGATCCCAGCTGTGGGCCATGCGCCTTGCGTTGGTTTCGACAGTGGTATTAGGGGGTCGACCTTCCAGAAAGCAATGATAAACTACTGGACGTAATTTGCCTAGAGAAACCACACAACAGCCAGGAGCTGCTGCTACAGTTTGTTTTGCAACGTCCTGTAAAGGATACACAACTAACCTTTGATAATATTATCGAGCGTCACAGCTAAAAAATGTCTTCCAATTCACTGGAATTTTTGTAGTTTTCTGCCTTAGCTGTAAATTTGTGATTTTGTCATATCATTCAATATTTTTTGTCTGCGCAAGGGCCAGTTAATTAATGTGTGTAATTTATTAGTAACTGTTTTAACCATGCAACATTACTATGAACTGGGGCATAGCTGTAGAACGGCAGATAACAGAGAGATAAAAATCGTGAATGGAGGTGAGCGATATCTGAAGAAGATATAATACTGATATGACATTGGAGGGTCCTTTGACATTGGCAACATCACTTTCACCATCACCATGTCGAGTTGTTATACTCCGCATAGGTCTCAGTCTAGTTTTCTGTGTGTTCTACTGGTGCTATCATTTCAACATCATGGATGAAATCCAGTCCAGCTTCTTTCAGTAATGTTCTTTCTAGGGTTTTTTTCAGACGTCCTGGTTGCCTCAATCCATCTGTTTCTCACTTAAATGTCTGTTTGCTTATTCTCTGCTCTGAAGATGTGCCCAATATAATATAAAAGTGTCACTTCTTTGCCTTTTAATTGTTAATACAAGTGGTTGTTCAGACAAAACAACTTTGCAAACATAACAAAATACCACCCTTACCCTGTAAGTCAAGTTGCAAAACTCTGACGCAGTTTTGATCACATACAGGCACTGCCACAGGACAGGGCTAGTGACCTGATCACCCTGAGTCAATGCACTTGATACTGGGTTCTTGTCATAATGGACATCCATACTAGTTACGGTCAAGTGACGTCAGCTGCTGGACACAGCACTATCATGTGCCTGCTGTATTCATGATGCTTGTAGCCTGTTCCCTCTGATCCACCAAGAAAAAAATATTATTAGATTGTTCTTTTCATATATAAATGTTCACATTAAAAATACAACTGTCGCAACATTTAATTAGCCTACAAAGGAATTAAGTCATATATCTTTGTCCACCTTTACCTCCAAATTAAGTATAGGCATGAAGATGGGCATAAGGTATAGTAAACACTTTGGGCAAGAAAGCAAGGACCAAGTTTCTCAAAATGAGAGCGGTGATAAGAGTGACCTTCTGTACAGGACCTGCTATATGATGACTGCACAAAGTTTTCTTCAGATCTGTGTTTGTGGTGACCTATGCACATACACATCTGTCAGATGTTTTTACTGACCTATGTGTGTGTCAGATCTAGGAACAAGTTAGATCTGAGCCTATACTGACATAAGCACTGCTCACACGCTGACTTTAAGATGACAACATGCTGCACATTAGTCTGATAAATCACATCATAATGAGTAGTAATTCAAATAATTGAATTCCCAACGTGGGTTCAGGGAGCCCGTTCTGGAAAATTGGAGGAATAGTGACTTATCCCACTGCCTCCATAATGCAGGTTGTAAGTGTCAACAAATTACTAATTTAATTAGGGAATCACCAGACCATAAGACAACTAATCAAATTGACCACATATGTATTAACAAAAAGTTTAGATCATCCCTTTACGATGTTAGGGCTTTCAGAGGTGCCGATGTATTTACTGACCATTTCCTGGTGATAAGTAAAATCAAGTTGAAACTAAAAAGATATATAACATCTTATAATCATAGAAACCAATAAAATGTAGACTTTCTCAGAGATAAAGAAATTAAGGAACAGTTCTCAGTTACGGTCTCTAATAAGTACCAGGTGTTGCAGCAGTTAGCTGAAGATGTCAACACAGAAGTCTGCTGGGATCAGATCAAAGGAATCTGGAATGAATCTTGCGTAGAAGTTCTTGGCAAGAAAGAAAGGAAACATAAAGCATGGATAACACCAGAAACCATTAAACTGATTGAAGATAGGAAAAGTAAAAAGGCAGAATTAAACAATAGCAAAACTAGAGCTGCTAAAGCTAGAGCTCAGGAGAATTACACAGAATCCAACAAGGAAGCTAGGAGGCATATAAGGGCAGATAAAGTGAAATATCTAAATGATCTAGCACAAGAAGCGGAGACAGCAGCAGCAAAAGGAAACCTCAGAGAACTTTACAGTAACACAAGAAAATTAGTAGGTAAATATAGTCATCCAACTGGATCAATCAAAAATAGTCAAGGAAAGGTACTTACTAACACTAAAGATCAAATGGACAGATGGGTTGAATATTTTGAAATGCTTCTAAATAGACCAGGCCCAGAGGTTCCCCCAGATATCCAGCCTTTAGAAATGGAACTGGATATCAACTGTGAGATACCATCCAAAGAGGAAATTAGAAAAGCTATAAATCTTCTTAAGGAAGGAAAGGCGTCAGGCCCAGATAGTATCCCAGCTGAAGCCATCAGGACCAACATAAACACATCAACAGAATTGCTACATAGATTATTCAGTAAAGTCTGGGAGACCGAAGAAATACCAGCAGAGTGGAGAGAAGGATATCTTGTGAAACTGCCCAAAAAAGGTGATCTACAGGAGTGTGAAAACTATAGAGGAATTTTGTTGCTGTCAGTTCCTGGAAAAATATTAAGTAGAATTATTTTGGAAAGATTAAAAGATGCTATTGATAAAATGCTAAGAGATGAGCAGGCAGGTTTTCGGTCAAACAGATCCTGTACTGATCAGATAGCCACATTACGTATTATAATAGAGCAAAGCATTGAACTGAACTCACCACTTTACATTGGATTTATAGACTATGAAAAAGCATTTGACAGCATAGATAGGGAATCTCTCTGGAAATTGATGGGGCACTATGAAATCCCACAGAAAATTATCAACTTAGTAAAGGCAACATATAAAGACATGAAATGTCGAGTTCTTCATGAGGGAAAGCTAACAGATGCATTTGAAATAAAAAACAGGTGTGCGACAGGGATGTCTTTTGTCGCCTCTCTTATTTTTACTGGCTATAGACTGGACTATGAAAACAGTAACTGCTAACACCAAGAATGGAATTCAGTGGACCCCTACAAAACAGCTTGATGATCTGGACTTCGCTGATGATATTGCTCTTCTGTCCCATTCACGGAATCAGATGCAAGATAAATTAAATATACTTAATGCGAGATCACAGCAGCTTGGTCTGAAAATCCATAAAGGAAAGACAAAGATAATGAGAATAAATCAGGCAAATAGTAATATGGTTTCTCTTAATGGCACCCCACTCCAAGACGTGGAGTCGTACACCTATTTAGGCAGTAATAGTAATGTAGATAAAGATGGAGGAACTGATAGAGATATTAAAATAAGAATACAATAGGCAAGAGGGGCTTTCATAGCACTAGGGAATTTGTGGAGGTCAAAAGAAATGAAAACAAATACTAAACTAAACATTTTTAATTCTAATGTCAAATCAGTACTATTGTATGGGGCGGAAACATGGAGAACAACGACGGCAATTAATAAATTACAGACATTCATTAACTGGTGCCTGCGCAGAATAGAGGGAATAAAATGGTATGATAGAATAACTAATGTAGAACTTTGGGAGAGAACTAAACAGGCTCCAGTGGATCAGGAGGTGAGGAAAAGACGCTGGCGTTGGATAGGGCACACACTGAGAAAACAGGAGAACAGCATAAGTAGAATGTCTTTGCATTGGAACCCACAGGGGCATAGGAATAAAGGAAGGCAAAAAAAACACATGGAGAAGAGAGCTGGAGAATGAGGTTAGAAAGATTGGGAGGACATGGGGAGAGCTCCATGTAATGGCAAAGGATAGAACGACTTGGCGTGAGTTGGTTGAGGGCCTATGCTCCATTGGGGGATAGAAAGGCAGAAGAAGAAGAGGCGGAAGAACAAGTACTTTCAGCCAGAGTTTACAGCTAATGAACGTGAAATAATTCAACATTTTACATATGAATCAGCCATTGAGCAACCAATCACAATGTGTTTCAAAACCAACATTAAAATAGTGGGCGCCTGTGGTTTAGGAATTGCAAGGCGTTTTAAAATGCCGGTGTGCCGGGTTAGATCCCAAGCTTGGTCCTTGCATTGGTTTTGATAGTGGTATCGAGAAGTGACCGTCTAGAAAGCAATGGCAAACTATTGGACTTAAATTTGCCAAAAAAAAACCACAACAGTAACAGCCAATAAATGCTGGGGTTGGTTCTGCAATGTTATGTAAAGGATACACAATTAACTTAACCGTGTGAGTTCAGTTGCAAAACATTACAAGTTCAGTTAAAAACAGTACATCATTTAGTAAATCATGTAAATGATTTACTATATACTATATAATTAATATACAATAGCTGGAAAGGGGGAGCTCTTAAATAATACTCAGATAGGAGGACATGGCCACAGTAGTTCTTTAAAGCTACTAAAAAGTATTAGTGAATAAATTTAGAATGACAGAGAAATAGATACGCAAGATATGAAGATAGGATAGACACACACCAGTCCTGAGACAGTGTCCTAGCATGGTAACCACTGAATAATATTAATATAAATATTATAATAATAATATATGTAACAAGTGTTCTCACTGTTCTTTAATGAACTTTTAATTACGCATATTTAGTAGTTTTTTTTTTTTTTTTAAACTGAAATAAAATAATTACTCTTCTTTGTATGTGTGAAGTTATTTATCCGCCTTACCTTTATTCTAAATATCATTAGTGAATTCACCACCCAACCTCCAGACTAACTACCCTGTCGCCACAGGTGTCATGAGGAAGGTGGAAATGGATGCCGCAACTGTTTTTCGTGGAAATCACACTGTCTATAATACACGACGACCCTGCTCAGAAAACATTCTCTGCATGTGTACAAGTCTTCTCGTGGCGTAAACAACATCCCTTTACTCGCTTAGGATAATATTTTGTCCTTGTACTGCAACATGTTCACACACAGAAGGCCAGTATGTAGAGAAATTATTAATATTTTTTTTATTTAACTTGCCCTTCCTGTGAAACAATCTCCATCTTTGCGACCAGTAAAAGTTTAACCGGAAGTAAATGAAATGAACTGGAGGCGGCAGCTCCCATTGGCTGGAAATGAGGAAACTTCCCCGTCACGTGACCAGATTTTCCGACTTAGTTCCTTCAGGAAGTAGGCCATGGAAATGTCAAGGGCGCGTCTCCGGTTGTACTTTTTAACTTTCGCGTCTAGGTCCCAGGGACATTTTCTGAATTGTCTTCTTCTTTTTGGTTGGAGCGGTACTTAAAAAAAAGGGGGGGGGGGGGGGGGGGGGGGGCAGCTGGTTGTCCTAAAAGGCGACTAATAAATTTTGTCGGTACTAAACAACTCGCCAAACATTTTCTTGATAATTTCAAAAACAAATCATCATCATCATGTAGCAGGTCCTTTGCAGAACGTCGCTCTCATCACAGTCTGCCTGAAAGAAACTCGGTCTCTCGCCAGTTCTCCTGCCTCATGCACTTTCACACTCAAGGAGTCACTTTTATCATGTGCCCATCTTTGTGTTGGTCGGACTCTGCCCCTCCTTTCTGATACCATGCCTTTGCTATAATTTTTTCCAATCCGTCGTAGCGCTTGATATTACCAAAATATTTCAGCTTTCGTGAAAGGATGCTGTTTATTAGCCAATCTTCCATGATGTTCAGATCAATATTTCTCATCTTCTTTGTCCAAGATATTCTGAGAATCTTTCTTAAGAATTTCAGCTCAAAAGCTCCTATTCTCTTTCTTAAGGACTGAGAGATAGTCCACGACTCACATCCGTATGTAGTCACAAGAAAGATGCATGCTCTCAAAATTCTCATTTTTATGTCCTTGCTGGTGCTTAACCATAGACTTTTAAGGCTGTTCA